TCTAGCCGAGATGGCAAGCTAAATACATCGGAAACGAATTTTACTCAGTGAATGAGTCTCTTTTACTGATTCGCATGGAGATTTTTGTTTAAAATCGTAGGTTACTCATGCGTTGAATAACCTACTCACAACTGAGTAAAAGTTATTCACTCTCTGAGTTAGTTTCGTTTTCAGTGTGCAATGCAACGAACAGCCCTGTTTATCACTCGGCAGCCAAACGATGACTGCAGTCAAATTTAGTAAATAGTAAAAATTACGTTTATTTGCTAGTTTTTACATTTCAATTGTCTTTGGCTCTTCAACTTTGTTCTAGTTAATTGGTTATTCTAATGTGATGATTGCGTTTAGCGCTAATTTACAGGATACCCTTTCAAGGGCTTGTTTCCGTTTGAATTTAAAAATTTGATAACCTACCTACTTGAGCACAGGAACCTACCTAGCTACTTGAACTAGGTTGCCAAATCGCCAATGATCTGGTGGTTTGATCGCAGACAGGCGACTCTGAACCTTTCCAGCGTCGTGGACGTCTTTCGCTCCTCGAGTGTTTGAAGACCGGCCAGGTGGTGAATCTCAAAATTACGAGTTCGCGGTGGACTGTTAAGGATCATTCTGAGGATCTTGTTTTGGATCCTCTGAAGCTTTAGCTGGTGGCACTTAGCACAACTCTTCCAGATTGGCATACCATACTCAATAGCCGGCAGAACGATCTGCTTGTGGACAGCAAGCTTGTTTTTGGGGGACAGGGTGGAGTTCCTGTTTATAGGAGGGTAGAGCGACCTGATCAAGATGCTACACTTGGTGGATGTCTTGTCCACATGGGATCGGAATAGCAATTTGCTATCGAGGGTGAGACCAAGGTAGACTACTTCATTCGACCATTCAATGCTATCAAGGTGGACCTTGACGTTAGCAGGCGGAACAAACCGAGGTGAATTCGAGTGTGGAAACATAATGGTTTGTGTTTTAGCTGCATTGATACAAATCTTCCAGCTCTTGAAATAGTCGGACAGAACATCCAGACCTGATTGTAGTTTACTCACCAGAGCACGGATCACTCGACCCCTATAGATGATGGAGGTGTCATCTGCGAACATTGACAGTATACCACCACCCAGCAGGGTAGGAACGCCTGACGTGAAAATGTTGAATACGATAGGCCCAAGCAGGCTACCCTGAGGGACCCCTGCATCAACGTTGAACGTATCAGAGGGGACATTGTTCAAGTAGACCTGTTTAATGATCTTCACGAGGTAGATCGGAAAGTTGTAACGATGCAGCTTGTACACAAGGCCATCATGCCAGACATTGTCGGACGGCTTCTCGACGTCCAACAATGCCATGGCAGATGTATTGGAAACGGAATTATTCCGCTTGATGATGTTAGTAACTCGTGCGAGTTGGTGGATGGTAGAGTAGTCTTTCCTAAACCCGAATTGCTCTTTGAGAAAGATTTTATTATCATTTGAAAACACCAGCAGACGGCTGAGTATCAACTTTTCGAATAGCTTCGAGATGGAGGACAAGGGGCTGATGGGGCGGTAGCTTTTGGCATTGGTAGCCAAGCTTCAAGCATTTGTTAAAGATAACGGTAAGATGGTTGAAGAAGTCAATACTCAAGTTTTTCAACTCGAGGTTGACTACACCATCCATACCCGCGCCCTTCATGTTTCTAGTGCTTCTAACAGCTGCTATCACCTCATCAGCCGATATTCTACTATCATCATGCACAACTACAGGGGTGTCAGCGACTCTAGACATTGCCTCCAGTACGGCAGGCATGGGGGCTCACCATGGTTTGGCCAAGATTATGTGAAATCACAAAATGTTGGCCAAGAGCATTGGCCTTTTCAACTGGGGTTATGAGTATGGGTTATGGGTCCGAATTCTGGTCAACAGAGGAAAGCGGAGGAATCCGGCTCGAGCGTTATCATTCGGTTCGTTGATCGATTGTCATTTTGTCATTTGGATATATTTTTGATATCTTGGTCTCAACTTATTTTTCAAAATTTTGGTCATCTTCCAAAATGGTTTTGCACAATCTTGGAGAAAGCGAATCTTGTTGGCAACATCGTTATTTCTGAATTCCACCAGCCTGGCCTGGATAAGTTTGGTTAGCCTATTGACATTGGTCTTCAAATGGGGCAGCCCAGAACGCTGGAACTGCCTACGAATGGTGTTACGGAGCCTGATAAGATCTTTGGTTGGACATCAGCATATCTGGATGCTGGTACGTGTTGCTCCCTGGCACGGGATATCGCCTCTTCGATGGTTTGCAGACACCGATCGACTTCTTCGGATGATTCCGGTAGGACGTCGTAGTCGATTCCTGTGTCCACACAGCGCTGGTACTGCTGCCAGTTGGCACGATGGTAATTTCGCCGGCAAACTTGAAACATATTGGCCGAGGAACCTACTTCGGCCACCGAGCTCAGTTCCTGATAGGCGATAGATGTCAAACTTTCTACGTTTATCATTCTACTACCCTCTTTTTTCTGTATTTAGCTGATGTAGGTGAATGAATAGAAAAAAAGGCTACGATGTCCCGGCTGCAGTGAACAAGTTCGAGGTCGACCCGTCCAACGTGCAACGCTGATTGATTATCTGGCTTCGGCTTGTGTTGTTAGGGACCAACTTTCTGATGGCTGTGTTAGGGGTGACAAATTGGCATTTAAAGTCTGACAAATTTTGCATTTCCCTGGATTGGCACCCTTCCCGAAAGACGTAGTCCTACGTCAAAATATTCTCAATGTCGAAGGATAGGACCAGGGGAGAAGCTTGAGGTTTCATAATCTCATTAGATCGTTGTCGCCAGTATGAACGGTTAGAATATAGATTTGTTTTTTGTTCGTGCTTAATTTTACGTAAGCGGTAAGCGTTATTACCTCTCACCCCAGCAGGCCTGGGTTCAATCCCAGTCGGCGCCACCGGGATGTTCTTAGGCATAACATCTCTGATCACGATACCGTGAAGACTCTTTTTTCGGCAGACATTTCATGTTTGGTGAAGACTTTTAAAGACATAAGAAAACACTTAGAGATTGGAGTAGATTTTGGTATCATATTTTAAGCAACTTCTAAAACATGGTTATTATGAGCAAGAGTCCTCATAATTCTCCTGAAATTATAGCCTGAACTTCCTTGGAATAATATTTAGATTTCCTTTAAAAATCTCCTTAAGATTCACCTGTAACTCACAATCCAATATTCCTAGACATTCATTAAGTTTTCTCGCTACGATCTCCCGTTGAATTTCTCCTCAGAATTCAACTGGAATGCTCTCAACTCTCAAATGGAATTGTTCTCACATTTGCTTAGCAATTATGCCTAAATAATTAAATCTGGATCAACAATAGAAAAGGGCCCATCAGCATTTGTAAACCAACCGTTCTAAAGCCCTTTCCTCACAAAGCGAAGGCCACCAACGCAAACCAACAATATCATCGGATAGGGGAAAGTTTCCCCTACACAATTCTTCACAATTTGGTATTCTACTTAGGATAAAATTGAGGCTCTTCTCATTTGAATTCTTATTAGAACTTTCTTGGAAATCTCCTGAGCATTTACCAGGAATCAAAAGGTCCTCAGAACTACCTAGGACGCATTCCATAAATTTTGCTGCTACTCAAAACTAAAATGGAATTCCAGTCAGAACTAGAATACTCCTTAGAATTCCCTTTAACGACGCCTCCAAATTCTCCAGAAATTCTCAAGATAATGCCACGACATTTCAGAATCATGAATATTTTCTACAAGGCCATGAAAATCTGGAATCTAAGAAAACATTTCAACATCCGAAATCTGAACATTCGTTCCAAAATTCTCAAAACAAAAATCCATCACAAACTTTGAAACTCTTCTCGGAATTCGATTGAACCCTCAAAATTCGATTCCATTGGAATTCTTCTCGGAATTTAATAATAGAATCCTCATCCAATCATCATAGAATTCTTCTCAGAACATTCGTTAAAATGCACTCGCAATTACATTAGATTTATTTCCAAAATTGTTTCGGGGCTGAATTTAAACAATAATCAAAAGCGACGCTCGTATGTGTTAAGCCAAGTTTAACTATATAAACCTGGCTTAAGATTTAAGCGAAGATGAAGAAATCGGTCCTCAGAACACATGATTTTACATGAGACTTTCGTAGTCTGTACTTTGGTATTCTTCTCTGATATATCTTGGTGTCTGCCCTAGAATCCTTTAAAATTCTCTTTTAAATCGAAATTGAAGGCATTTCCCAATAGTTTTCCTGGTGTTCTAACGTTTTGCGGTTCACTAGGGTAACCAGTTAAAATTTTCAATTTTTCAATTGATATGTATATTCTGTTAAAACTACTGTAGACTTTCTTAGTGCCAAGTACTCAATTTAAACATTTTGTGGATATCTTTAAACTTCACTCTATTTTAGTAGTCAAAAAGCGACTTTAGTTACTATTTTTTTTTATTACTCTTAATCAACAGGCACTCTACTTTAGGATGCATCAAGATGGTTGTCACAGTGTTACCATAGTAGCAAAACATCTTTATTTAAAGAAAATTAAGAAATTTACGTTTGTGTATATCTTTTGTGCGATGTAGCATTGCCGTTGTGAAACGAAATTAATATTTCGTATGAAAATCCAACTGCAAAAATCAAAGATGCACATCAGTCTGATTGGAATAATGTTTTCCTTCAAAATTCTATGGTTGTATTGGATGTTTTGTCGGTTTGAGGACAATTATAAAACATAAACGCTCACTTTCATGAATTTCCTGTCAACATTATCATCATCATCATGCAGTGATGACATCTGCGTAGAGCTGTTACGGCAACTTCCCGAATGCCATCTTGCTTTCCAAATCAATCAATCCCGTTACCCGTTCGTTAGTACCTTCATTGTTGATACATAGGACACGAATTTTTCGACATGGGCCACGTCGTGCATCGTTTGTGATGCGATATTACATCGTTCTGTGATTTTCGATTAGCGAAACAAATATAAATCAAATGCCACTTACAAATCTCGATTCCTGCGTCTCCATATCGTAGGCGGATCTTGGCTGCTGAGCCTGCTGCGAATCCATGGTCCACTTCTGCTCCCACTTTTGCTGCTGCTGCTGCTATTCTCACCCGCACTTATTGATTCCACCGCAAACTTAATCACTCTTAGCACGTACACACATGTGTGATGTGAACTAGATCGTACCGCCGCTCACTGCTCTAGCTCACTGTGACACTTATTTACTCTCTATTCCCTAAGCCTAGCTCCACAGTGCAGTGCTCTTTCGGTTTCCCAAATCACACTCTTCACCAATTACTTTCTCTTCCCAAATATTTCACTCTCCTTCAAAACTCTGCGGCTGCTTTCTTATTCCCTTCGCTTTGGATATCCACACGCCTTATGTATTCCACTTTTTTTTTTTCTCACTTCTGCTGTTGCTGCTGCAGCTCAGCTCTCATCATCAGGGCGGCGTTTAAGCGAACCACTTCACGTCACCTTTGTGTTTGCTACTATTGTTTCACCTGCGCTCTTAATTCGACGAAAAAAAAACGAAACACAACTAGTAAATCAAACAATCAAACACTGTACATTTTTTTTTCGGATTTCGGATCTCTTACTTTGGGTAGGAGAGGTAGTAGGTAAGAGAGAAAAGCATGACACAATCACGTCAAACGAAAACGAAGAAAATAACAAACAATATAGCACACACGATGACGAAATGCTGTGCTGTGTTAGCTCTCTGTGCGGTGTTGTTGTTGTTGTTGTTGGTTGGTAGGAATTAATAATTGAGAATGACAGCGCACCCCAGCACACACCACCGCACGATTTCGGTCTGACTCTGATGATGAGTAATCCACAAAGATATTGCGGGGAGGGTTCACCACCAGGGAGCAACCTGCTGGCACTGTTGGGGATGATTCTGCCGAGCTGCTCCGGCCATTGTGGCCCAGTTCCGGGCTATTCCACCGCGGCAGGGGAGAAATTTTCACGCCACCTTCGCAAATTTCCCCCAAACTTCCGACCGGTTCGACAGATTACCAATATTTACGGTTTCCAACGACGACGACGACAACAGACCGTGTTGTGCCCGGCAACTGTCGAATCTCTGAAAATGTCAAACAAAAAGAAAAATAAGTCACATTAGTAAATGGTTCGATTCGTTGAAATTTTTTGTACACTATTTTATACTGTTCATTCAAGCACTAGGAACTAATGGAAGAGTCGAGACTCGAGAGAAGATACTTGTGGGGCCCGGACTGACTTTGACTGACGACGACGATGATGATGGTGGGTTGTAGCTGCTGCTGGCCCCATGTCAGTGCAGCAGAGACGTGCATCTGTGTGTATAGCGAGGCATGATTTGCGATGGTGTTTGTGGACGGTGAAGGTAGAGATAGTGGGATGATGTGTTTAAATTGGTGGTCAAAATCATAGGACTATTACAGAATGTTCGATTATTATTATTTTTATTGATGAAAATTTCACTTAACCGTTTACACTCCAAATTCTGGTTTCCATGAACAGCTTCGACAGGCAATGGTAGTTTTCACCAGCAGAAACGAAAACTTTAGATGTTCACATCACAAACCGATTCTTGAGGTTTTTAGCTTCCATCAAGTGAAGTATACACTAAGGCTAAAGAACGAACGAATTCCATAAGAACCACTTATTAATTTTAACCACAAGAAATCGCTATGAATTTCATTAATTTACCATGAAAAATAATGACGAAAATTTTTCATAAGTCTCGCTTATGAAATTCATATATGTCGTTTATAAGTCGAGCCTTATGTAATCCTTAAGTCTATTTACCTCAGTGCACGACGGAGCAAACACGTTTTACTATTTTTTCTTGAAATAAAACACAATCACCACAAAATGGTACGCTCGGTTGCAGGAAAATCAGTGTAGAAACACCATGATGACCAGAAAAATTCCGATTAGCAATTTCTCGGACGTAGTGTGTCAATTTGTTTATGTTAATGACATGCGACCAATAGTCCATTTTATGAAATGACAGGAGCTGGTTTGCCTGCCAGAATTTGATGATATTGATATTGCTTCTCACAGCCGTTAGGTAACCGCCTCCTGTCAAAGTTCATTCATGAGTTGAACCAGAAACGTCTCATAAAATGCTCTATTCAAATAACACTCAAGATATAGGCAGCGTTTGTTTGATTCAAGGGGTTGCTCACTCCGCACAGTGTGCCAAAAATACAGATGGCTGGTAAACGGCTGGACAATGCGTACCATTGATACTTCGCGTATCTGCAGGTATAAAATAGACCACACTAGCGGTCCTTAGCCTCTTGTCCCGTAACTCCAATCCCTACCTCCCCGCGGTGCCGGCTGGGGTACAAGTATCCATAGGGAAGATCGGGTAACCATCCCCGGTGGGACCTTGGTCGTATGCTGACAGGGAAGGGAGGACTACTCTCTCCGGAGAGTTCAGTCTTCGAGCGTCTGTTCACCATGGAGGTAAATACGGACCGGAACAATCGGCATAGAGCCAAGCAACGGAAACGGACTAACGATTGGAAACTCGGAACTGCAAGTCTCTCAATTTCTTGGGAAGTACCTGCATTCTTTCCGATTTATTGAGGGTCCGCAAGTTCGACATCGTAGCGCTGAAGGAGGTTTGCTGGAAGGGATCGTCGGTACATACGTATAGGGATGGCTATACTATCTACCAGAGCTGCGGCAATACACATGAGCTGGGTACAGCTTCCATCGTGATGGGCGAAATGCAGTAGCGCGTGATTGGGTGGTGGCCAATCGATAGCCGAATGTGCAAGTTGAGGCCGTTTCTTCAATGTCAGCATAATCAACGTGCACAGCCCTCCCTTAGCAAGTGACGATGACGATAAAGACGCTTTTTATGCGCAGCTAGAACTGGAATCCGACAGCTGCCCAAGCCATGACGTCAAAATCGTCATCGGAGATCTTAACGCTCAGGTCGGCCAGGAGGAGGAATTCAGACGGGTTATAGGAAAGTTCAGCGCTCACCAGCTAACGAACGCCAACGGCCTTAGACTCATCGATTTCGCCGCCTCTAAGAACATGGCCATACGTAGTACCTACTTCCAGCATAGCCTCCCATATCAGTACACCTGAAGATCACCGCAGCAGACAGAATCGCAAATCGACCACGTTTTGATCGACGGAAGACACTTCTCGGACATTATTGCGGCGCAAATATCGATTCGGACCACTACCTTCTAATGGTCAAGGTGCGCCAAAAACTTTCCGTTGCCAACAACATTCGGTACCGACGCCCACCACGGTACAATCTGGAACGACTGAAGCTGCCCGAAGTCGCAACTGAGTACGTGCAATGCCTCGACGCAGTGTTGCCGGATGAGGGAGAGCTCACCGAAGCCCCTCTTGAGGACTGCTGGAGCAACATGAAAGCAGCCATTAACAGCGCTGCTGAAGGCGCCGTTGGGTTCGTGGAGCGGAATCGACGGAACGATTGGTTCGACGAAGAGTGTCAGACGGTTTTGGACGAGAAGAACACAGCGCGGGCGGCGATGCTGCAGCAAGGAACCCGTCATAATGTGGAACGATATAAACAGAAGCGAAGACAGCAAACCCATCTTTTCCGGGATAAGAAGCGCCGGCCGCCTGGAAGAGCTAGATTGCAAAGAAATGGAGCAGCTTTGTCGTTCTCAAGAAACACGCAAGTTCTACAAGAAACTCAAGGCATCCCCCGCCAAGGCTTTGTGCCACGAGCCGAAATGTGTCGGGATAAGGAAGGGGGTATCTTAACGGACGAACGTGAAGTGATTGAAAGGTGGAAGCAGCACTACGATGAACATCTGAACGGCGCAGAGGCGGAGGACCAAGGCGGCAGGATGAATGACTTCATCGGTACAGCGGATGAGGGGGACATGCCAGCTCCCACGATAGGTGAACTTAAGGATGCTATCCTACAGCTTAATAACAACAAAGCAGCTGGGAAAGATGGTATCGCAGCGGAACTTATCAAAATGGGCCTGGATAAGTTGGCCACTTGTCTGCGACGACTGATAGTCAGGATCTGCGATACAGAACAGCTACCGGAGGAGTGGAAAGAGGGGGTAATATGCCCAGTATATAAAAAAGGCGACAAACTAGAATGTGAGAACTATCGAGATCGCCGCTAGCAAGCAGATTTGTGGGAAGTTATCAAGCCGGTTTTGTGGACGGGCGATCGACAACGGACCAAATCTTTACGTTGCGGCAGATCCTTCAAAAGTGTTGTGAATATCAAATCTCTACGCACCACCTATTCGTCGATTTCAAGGCCGTTTATGATACTATTGACCGTGAAGAGCTATGGAAGATTATGGACGAGAACGGTTTTCCCGGGAAGCTGATCATACTGATCAGGGCTACGATGGATGGTGTACAGTGCTGCATGAAGATATCGGGTGCGTTCGACAATGCGATGGTCTTTCCTGCCTCCTGTTCAACATTGCGCTAGAAGGTGTAATGAAACGTATGGGCTTTAACATGCGGGGCACGATCTTCAATAAGTCCAGCCAGTTCATCTGCTTCGCTGACGACGTGGACATTGTCGGAAGAACGTTTCAGGCCGTGGCGGAGTAGTACACCATGCTGAAACGTGAAGCAGAGAAGGTTGGATTAAAGGTGAATACGTCGAATAGGAACCGAGCGGGATAGGGCTCGCATAGGCAGAAGCGTGACAATCGACGGATATGAGTTCAAGGTGGTGGATGAATTTGTGTACCTCGGATCATTGGTGACGTCGGATAACAACTGCAGCAGAGAAATTCGTCGGCGTATTATTGCCGGAAGTCGTGCTTACTATGGACTCCACAAGACCCTGAGGTTTTGCATACTAAATGTACCATGTACAAGACGCTGATAAGACCGGTAGTTCTCTACGGGCACGAGACGTGGACGATGCTCGAGAAGGACCTGCAAGCACTGGGTGTTTTCGAACTTGCTTAGGACCATCTTTGGCGAGGTATGTGAGAACGGTGTATGGAGGCGAAGGAAGATCCACGAGCTGGCACAACTCTATGGCGAACGCTGTATCCAGAAAGTTGCGAAAGCTGGACGAGTACGATGGGCGGGACATGTTTTAAGAATGTCGGACAACAATCCCGCAAAAACTGGTGTTTGCCTGGAATCCGGCCGGTACAAAACGAAGAGGAGCACAGCGAGCAAGGTGGTTAGACCAAGTGGAGCAGGATCTTGGAAGTGTGAGACGGCCAAGAAATTGGAGACAAGCAGCCATGGACCGAGTGAATTGGCGTAACATTATGATGCAGGTACAATCCTGAGGGACGTCGGATCAGGATAAGTAAAAAAGTACACCTGGGCATTCGCACTCATGGTTAGAAATTTTCGTGATATTTAAAGCTACTGGCAACACTGTACTATATATGCGCCTGCTCTGTACATGTGTCAAAATGTTTATCATTGTTGTTGACACAATCCAATTAGCTAAAAACCGGTCAAAAGTCAACGCGGTATGCTTGCGGGATGAGCGAGGTCATCAAGGCGATGACCGTTGCCAAGTACGGATGGTGCTGGAGTCGTTACCGGAAGACTTCGAGATCGGAGAAACTCCACTCAAGACGATCGAACTGTTCAAGTATCTGGTGCGGAAGGCTTTGGTGTTCCAGATCAGTTTGATCGAAGTTGGGAAGGAGGAAGCTGATTGAAAAGATCACCATGAAGGGACTGCTACTGGTCATAATGTCGAATAATTTGGAATGTGATTAGTGAGTTGGTTAGTGGGGAGAGCGACACCCTGAAGGAAGAAGGGAAGGGAACGTTGAAGACATTGGTAAATCGATTTGGAGTGGGGAGATTCGTGATGGAGCTGAAATCACAGCCGAAGGAGGTTAAGTGGAATTGTAAGATGTTAATTGGTCAGTTGTTGGGCTTAAAGGTGAGCTAATGAAAGTCGACATCGGTGAGTTGGTTGAAGGTTAGGTTTAGCTCTCGGATACGACACTGGTAGCCCAGCGCTTGAAATATAATATTTATTGATGGAGAAGAAATCTCGGCGAAGTGTAAAGTGACCGGTGTTTTCATGGTGCCCAGCGATTGGAGCAGTTCGGTAAGCATTACAACATCGCGATGTTTGAA